TTTATCTTGGTGCCAAGAGTGTAGTAAGCATAGACAACGAAAGAGAAGGTCGAAGGAAAATGAAAACATAGAACTGCCAGATACAGAAAGGGGAATGGCCAACAAGAAATCCTTTTTGCTAAAGGTCCTTAATTCAAAACGAGCAGGTTATATTGAGCCAGAGGCGTAGCTGGGGGGGGAGGTGGGGGTGCGGACCATACCGGGTGACACCTTCCCAGGGGGTGACACCAAATGAAAACTTGCACATTTACAAAGCATTCACTGCTCGGTCTAACCGAATTTCATAAAAGGATGACCGATCATAGGTACATTTTCCACAAGAGTAACCAATCCAAATTAAATAATTCAAGGTTGATGAGTCAAAATGATTCAACGTCGATTGACGTGTTTCGTAAGTGACAGTAATCGATATTTATCTAAATTCTGAGTAATAATGCTTTCCATTGATACCAAATACGATACGGTCGGGTGATTCTAAGTATATGAATCGAATCAGAAAAAAAGTTAAAATCATTTTTAAAGATGACTTTTTACCCATTTATAAGGTTAACAAAATAATATTTTACAAAATGCTCTAATATCTTTTAATAATTATTTTAAATGTATTTAAATTTTTTTTAAAAAAAGTTTTTGAAACCAAATTTATTGAAACCCCAAAACACTCAAAATTTAATATTTTCGCCGATTCGTCACTAGCACCGCCCCTTAACATTTGAGAATGATTGTCATACAGCACAAGGTCTTTTGCGGGATCTCTTTGATTTCACGTTTATCTGCTACCATTAACTTTGGTATGATCTACTTGAGGAATTTAATCTTACACGGCAGTATCTACAGAATAAAGGCTTTACTCTTGACAAAGTGGTGACCAGCCTAGAGGCCTTAAGCGCCGTCACTTGGTGGAGCATGCTATTGAAATGGCACTTTTAAAATCATTCCAATGTAAAATGTAATTTCGGTGGAGAGAAGCTAAGGTTTAAGAAGAGAATGGCAGGAGAACAATTAATAGATGCTGGACTCTCTCTGCAAGAAGAAAAGAATAGGGAGATGCTGGAGTGCATCGATCGCTTTCATTCTGAGCCCCATCTCAGATCATCAGGGATCATGGAAGTAGCAGATATGTTTGGGGTTTTTCTAGTATCAGCAAGTGAAAAAGAGTTTTTTGTGTCTTCTCCAAAATTAACCGCTTTCTATGTTGAATTATCCGAAGATGAACTTTTAAAGGAAATACCAAGGCTTAGAAGACAATAAAGGCAGCTGATATTGAATTTCACAAAGTCATGGACTGGTCAGTATTTGATGTTTTGAAATTCATAGCTGAATGGGACTTCCCAGAATCTCTTCCAATGCTCTCACTAAGCCTTCAATTATATTTTTTTGAACGATCTGTGTGTCTGTGGCTTCATGTGAGCGGAGCTTTTTCAAAACTAAGGCTCATCAAGAACTATTTACGATCCACCATGGGAGAGTCAAAGCTTTCCAAACTGGCTCTGCTATCAATTGAAAGTGATACGATGAAGGATATTGAAGTGCATCAAGTGATTGACAGGATTGCAGCTTTGAAGACAAGGAAAGAACATTTTTGAATAAAGTAAATTTAATGTAAAAATCACTATATCTCAACGTTGTTATAATCTTAAATAGATTTACCTCCTGGCATTTATTTTATTTTTGTTCTTGTCATTTTTATAATGTGGAATTATTTTAACAAGAAGACATCCATCGTGGAAGTCGGGGGTGGGGGGGGGGGGGGTGTGACAC